AAAATAAACAGATAATCTACAAAGTTAGTGTATTTGTTATGAAATTTATGAATGATTTTCAATCAATTTCTTGAAGTTATTGCTGTTATCAAGTTTATTAAAACTGAAAAAGTAATAAATTTTCTTCATCATATAAGGAAACCTGTTGTGTGTATAAGGAAAAATATAATTTATTTCTTATAAACTTGATAAGCAAGGATAAATTAAAAATATATAATAATAATAATAATAACCCATCTGTTCAACTGTATTATTTTTATAAATTGAAAAATAAATAGTCTTTGGATCTTATTAAATACAGACACACACAATTTGACAAATAATTGAATAAAATTATGTATAAATTATTTCAATTTGTTGATTATTATTTTTTAGTTCAGATTTTTAAAGAAATTACTCAGGATCAATGTAGATATGTTCAGTGATTTGATAAATATAGAAACCAACATATTACAAATATATTGTAATTATTTGTGACTGTTTTAGAATTTTAGTTCACATTTTACAAAGAAGTTTAAAATACTGATAAATGAACAGTTTTATAATTTTATAAAAGTATACTGAAATAATATAATGATAAAGAAATAGTTATATTAAAATAATTTATATCTTGATATAATTATTAAATTAGACACACAACTTCTGACAAGCTTATTTCTTTTGATTATATTATAGATTGATCAGCTTTAAAGCACAATGGATTTAAATATTCTTGTACATGTTTATTCATTATAAGTTGTTAATAAATGGCTTCCTTTTTTTTGTAAGATGAGAGACTGAATATTTCTTAGGTTAAAATATAAATATATTGAAGTTATAAAATTGTCTTCCTTTTCCATCATTCACAATAACCAGTGACAGTACAAAACAATTTTCACTTTTAAATTTAAATCACTATTTCTTAAGATTTCTGGTGTGAGAATTCCTAGGAATTCTGGCAAATATCTGAAGGATCAATCCCTGGAAAAATTAACTTGAGTCCAGAAAATTTTTTAAGCTTTTAAATCTTGACCAAATATTATGTTTGCAACTAATAGTTTATGTGAAAATTTTAGTTATTTTTATTCTTGATAAACTGCTGTGCATGCAAAGAGAATTTTGGGATGATTAGACTATAAATATTTTGTGAAAAACCATCACAATAAATCTGCATAGAAGTTTAGCATTTTGTTCATAATATACTTGTCGTTGAGGAATCGTGATTCATTGAGATTGGTCAGAATCTGGACCAATGGGCAATGTTCCATGTTCCGTTAGATTTGAATGGGCGGTGGACTAGGCAGAAAGCTACGAAACAGTGGGGAAGCTGATTGGTCGACTGCCGGCCCACCATAGCACATATATAGATTAGTTTAGATGAGTTTGTTGTGGTCTCTTTAAAAAGAAGTTTTGCTTGCCAAAGAAAAGGAATTATCATCTGTTTTCATCATCTTCTGATGAATGAGTATCTTCATCTGGTCATCAACAAGTGATGATTCCTGGAAGTGCCATCTCATTGTGAGGTGACTTTCTTGAATGGACTTTTACGGGATAAGAACATTTGTCAAGCATCGGCACTCTGGTTATGGACGCCATTTATAGAACATTTTTTTAAATTAACTATCAATTAGACTATACTTTTTTACAGTTTTATATTTTTTTGAAGTATTATGGCAAATTCTAAAAATATTTCAGAATTTTAGGGTTTCTGATTTTTAAAACTGTAATATTTCATGTCAATTATGTTTTTTGTTTCATAAAATGTGAAGTTTACAGTTTTATTTCTAATCTTGAATCTTTAATTAAGTCAAATTCAATTATTGGTCCTGGTAAACACCCTATACAAAATAATGTATTTTTCAACTCCGTAAATTGAACAAAATTTTACTTATCTCAATGTTGTCTCTCCTTAAGTTGAACTTGTCAAACTCAGCAGATGCAGACCAATATAAGTTTATAAGTTCCATGTGTCCTTTCAGTGCATTGTTTAGTAAAGTAGCTTTAATACAATTGGACAAGTAAGCCACTGACATAGAGTTGTCAATTTAGCAGAAAATTCTGATAAATCTAATTTTCCTATAGCATCCTTGAGTGGCTTAGAAGTTATGTTCTCTGCCTGTTGGATATGTTAGTGTTTTTTTCATAGTAGGCAAAGAAGAGAAACCACAGTAGCTAAAGTTTATTTTAGTGTTTTGTTTTTTAATTTTTATTGGTGAATAAATACAAATAATTAATGAAAAAATATATATTTTTTTGATGTGGAACTATTCATTTGTAACAGCAATGTTGAAATTTTTGTCTTTCTGCACTTTATTAATTCATAAACATCTATTTGCTAACCACCTAAATTTGCCTGTAAATAATTTGTAATATATGCAAAATTTGATTTTTTTTAATAAATTCAATTCAGTGTAGAGAGGTTATTCTGTGATTTAGGCAATATATTTTCTGTGATATTTATTTAAGTTCATCTCTTATTCTACTGCTTTATACTTTGTCTGAAAGAAAAAATTTTTTTCATATACCTCAATATATAGAACTGGTGAGTTTTTGGTATTTTCAAATTTAATATTTAAAGGTTTTATTATATAAAATGACTTTTGTTTATTATTCTATAAACTTTCTTTTAATGTAAATGTTCTTCATTTACATTCAAAAACTTTTTCATGCTGATCCATTATATTTGTAATAAATTTTTCTGAATTTTAATGGTAGACATTGATGTTATTCAAACAAAGATGAACAGTGGCTAGACATGTGAGAATGTTGCAAAGTGATTTTTATATATATGAGTGTGTTAGCTGCTGGAGAACTTTAGGTGAAGCTTGATAATTGAGTTTTTGAGTGAATTGGAAAACTGTAAGAAGTTAAAATATGTCATATTTAAAGAATTGGACATTTGTTAATAGATTATCTCAGGTTTTTATTGAGTGTTTATTAATAATCGCTTGGATTGAGTCAAATCCAAGCGATTATAAATCCTTTGCCTCGATCTCCACAACAGAGGTATGCAAAGAAGGGGGCAAGGCAGACCTCGTGAGAATGATCTCAAGGAAAAGGAAAAAGAAAGGCAATTGAGTAATACAACTAGTGAAGATTATCATGAATTAGAGGAAGCTTTTAACAAAAGTAGTCCTGTGACCTCGAGAGCTACAAAAATTTATGATTACTTCAAAGCATCAAGAGATACTGAGTCACAGGTACAGGAAGTGCCACAATATACTTTAAAATTGATATATGAGCTAATACAAGATAAACTCCTAAAGTATCAGTAACATAAATTTCTTACTGAACTACAAGAAATTAAAACAGAGGTCAATTCTCTGAAAGAGGAAAATAAACATTTTCATGGAGAATTGACAAAATTGTCTCAAAAGTTAGAAGAATTAGAGGAAACATCCTAGAATAACTCCAACTTAAAAGGTATGTTGGAATAAGAAATAGACAAATTAGTTAATGTGAGAAATAATAAAAATATAATAATTATAAATTTTCCTTTTAATTTGACTGATTATGAAAAGGAAATTAATTATTTTATAAAAAACGGCTTGCAAATAACTAATAGTTATATAGAAAGTTTGGTCAGACTATCCAACAGTGAAACCAAACCTATAGTGAAAATATCATTAAATTCCTCATACAACAGAAATTTGATTATTAAGAAATTCTGAAAAAGAAAGATGATTTCAGTAATAAAGAGAAGGAAAAAATAATACTTACTTCAGATTCATGTATGAGATCTAGAATGAGGAGGAAAAAACTACTAGCAATAGTAAAACAAGAAAACTTTAATCATCTCTTATAATAATTCTATTATATTTCCATTATTATATAAAAGACAACATAAAATATACATATGATGTGAATCTAGATAAAGTAGTTCAATTGAGTGGTTTTTTGAGAAAGAACTGAATGATATTATAGAGCAATTATAATTAGATTTAAAATAACTATTGTTTTTTCAAAGTCAAATTCAAGGAAATAGACTGAGTCTGTTTTCAGTTTCCTATGCTAATTCTTGTCGATATTCCTTATAAAAGTGTTCCTTAAATTAGGAAATTGAAAGAAAAATTACCAACTAAACCACTGAGGTTATAAGTTCATAGGATTCAAAAGTATTGGATTATTTATATCAAGAGACTAAAGTTGACCAGACAAAGTTGTGTGTGTTGTATCCCAATCTCAGGATACTCATATAGTAACAGATTTATGCCTATGATTTTGTTTTTGTTATTATAACTTCTTCATTCAACTAAGACTAAACAGAAGAAGTAAATTCAATAGTAATAATTAAGAACTTTTTAGAGGGTGCTGTCTCAGAGGTAGGGTTTTTTCTCAAAATGTACAAGTTTTGTTTTTATAGGGAGACACTAATGTTACTGAATAGATATAACGTCTGAACAATGAACAAGATTAACAAATGGAAATATTAAGAAATTTTATATGACAAAATTTTAATAACTTATAATTTGTATATAACATTGTAAATGTATAATAATGTTAAACAAAAAGATAACACATTAATTATAATATATTGACATATTATCATATGACAAAATCAATATGTTGGATATCAAATGAAACTCCCCTTTGTAACAGGTATATCCTATTACAAATAAACTTCACTCACTTATATAATTTTTAAGCAGATAGTTTTATTTTGGTTTACAGATATTTTTAAAAATAAATAATTTTCAAATCTTATAGTGTGGCTAATCTTAGTATTTCTAATAGCTGATTTGCCATGTAAGACAACTGAAACAGTTTTGGTAATTTTTATCAAAAATTAAATCACATTAGTTTAGACAATAATCAATATATATGTATCTTATTAGAAAATGTTCTCAACTTAACTTTTAATAATCTTAACTTAAAATTATTAACTGAGAACATTTAAAAAAAATGTATTACATAAAATATTTTTTATTTCTAGTTTTTATTTTTCTTTTAAAATAACTTCATATTGCATATAAAAAGGATTTTAACAAAACATAAAAAAGCAAACTGTTTTGTCAGATTAGGTGTCATAATTGTTACTACACCTCAGGATATAGCTTTGCTTGATGCTCGAAGAGGAACAGAAATGTTCAGAAAAGTTGAAGTACCTGTTCTTGGAATTGTACAGAATATGAGTTTATTTCTATGTCCAAAATGTGGTCATGCTACTTACATATTTGGAAAAGAAGGTACAAAGAAATTAGCTGAAGAACTGAAACTGGAAATATTAGGTATGAAAATAGATTAGTTTATTTTAAGTTTGCATGCTTTACAATTCATTATTGTTAAAAAAAACTGTTATGTTAATAACAACAATAAAAATTCAATGAAAATTTATAACTTTATTCAAAGTTTTTATTTTGATAAATTACTTTGTCTGATAATCATCATGACTTCAAAACTTGTAACTCTTGCAACTCTTGCTGACAAAAACAGTATACAAAATACACACACATATACATACATACATACATACAAGAAAGACTTCAGCTGTACATGAGGTATTTAGCCAGCAGAAAAGAGGGAAAGGGGAGGGGAAGGAGGAGGGAGAAGAGATAGATAGTAGAGAATGGCTACAGTACCCTCTATGTTGATGTTGGCGTGCAGTTTTTAGGCTGCAAGGCTGTAGTCCCCTGAAGGGTCTAAAAGAAAACCTGAGTGTAGCGAACACCAATGATTCAGTGCCGCCACAAATAGCTAAATGTAGAAGTTAGTGCCAAGTGGCTGTTAGTAGGAAGACTTATAAATACTTTAATGCTAATGAAACTGAATGTGAGTGCGAATCTTAATACTACTTAACAGCTAGACAGAGTGTGAAAAGACAAACGGATGGACAAAAGACAAAAAAAAATTTTTTTGGGGGTCTCGCGTGTTTATTTTATTTTTTATATATATTTTTAAACAATAACTTACTAACTAAATTAACCTACCATAACCTAGGATGAACCTAACCAGAAATCAAGCTAAGCGTCCTTAATCTAACTTACAACTAGGACTAACTTAAACTAACCTTATTTTCTGTCTTTTTTCAGTCTAAATTTGAATTAAAATACAAAGTTGAAAGCAGCTATATAACAACAGTTGAAACAAAACACACACACACACACACACACTATTTGGGAAGCTCCATGGTAGGCACCCTAACAATCTCAGCTAGGATTACATTGACTGAACTGCTCACAGATGTCTCTTTGGAGAGATGGATAGATTTATGATTGCCATACAAGACACTACAGAAAGCACATTTTAAAAGACACAATACTTTAATGGCACTTTAAGAAATCTCACATTATGTTTGATTTGTGTGCAAGCTTTCAATATACTAACTTCTACATACCAGGATCAAGAACTTAACTATAAAAACACGTCAGACAGTTATATTTTTATGTTGTATTTTATGACTAAACTATCCATCATAGACATGGCTGTAGCAAATACAAACACTGAAAAAATTAGTTTATTTTGTAGGCTGGTTTTGAGTATAAACTGTCTGAAGAATGGATAAGATGACTTTTGAGTAATGGCTATCAAAAACCTAGAAATATTAGAGCTTCACAACAGCACCTAGTTGTTAGGAAATTCTTAAACAAAGTTTCATAAACAGCATATATCTTAAAAGTCTAACTTGATGCAGCATCCCTGGGACCAGTAAATATCTATGTAGGATATATTTTAATCAAATTATCATCAAATTTTTTGACTAGATTATTGTGTGTTTAATATTTAAATTATAAATAAGTATTTTCCATAGATACAGAAATGGGAAAATAAAATGTTTATCATAATTGTGTGTAAGTAAAGACCATTAAGTATTTAAATTGTCAGATGGATAATTTTGATGGTAAAGGTGTCAGCCTGTTGCTCTGGAGAATCTGGGATACTGGTGGAGAATCCCATGAATTTTTTTAGACAGTTTGTCCTGGATGTGTCAGGCATGGCTGAACCCATGATATATCTGGAAAAAGGTCCTCTTTTTCTATGTGGGCATTGAGTCATAAAAAAATAGTATATATGCTACTGCTACAATAATGAAATTGTAAATGTTTATTAAAATAGATCATTTCAGATTTTTGTTCTTTATTTTGCAATAAAGTTTTTTTGAGTATTATAAATATAATTTACTCTTCTGTTGTATAATACAGTATATATATTATTATTAAATCTCATTTGACCTTTAATTTATTTTACTACATTTATTGTCTTTGAGTTACTTATTGGTTTTATTTGTATACAGCAACACTTGGGTACAGCAACCCTCTCAACAGATTGGGCAATCTGTTGAGAGGGGATACCTCCTTGGAGTTTTTTTTAATGAGAACTGGAAAGATGTTACATTAAGAAAACCCTTACTGAGTTTTCTTCATGTAACATCTTTGGGAAGCACATATTTATGGCCAACTACAGTGTCCAGTGGTTTTTATCCATTGGTGGGCCTATTTTCTCACCAATAATTTAAGCATTATATTTATTGAATTTACCTGTATATTCTATTCAATTAACTGTGAAGTTCTTATTAAACTCTATACAATATTTAATTACATGTTTTAGTATATCTTATTGTATTAAGTTTAAATTACAATACTCAATTTAATTTTGTCAATTAAATTTTAAATATTAGGTGATATTCCATTAGACATAACTATTAGAGAAACATCAGATTTGGGTCATCCAATTGTTGTAAGCAAGCCAGATAATATTCAGGTAAGATCTGCTGATTGAATTTAAAAATAGATATTTTGTATGTAAATACTAGCTGGAGGTACCTAGCAATGCTTGAGTTATCTTTAATTTTTCGAACCTGTTCAATGTTTCTTCACGATTTTGTTAGTTGGTGATTAGTCTATATACATTTAATACTTATTTCCCACATGATAGATTAAAGAAAAACAACAAAAATATTTGCAAAACTTTTAAAAATTTCTCGTAGAGCAATCTATAATAAAACAATTTACAGTGAAGTAACATTTTAAATGGGATATAATAATAATTTGAAAGTATTTAAAAATCTTCACATCATTAAATTTTACGACCCAAGCGATAAACTAAATTACCAATATTCCAGCGAAGGTGCCACTGAATGGTAATGGCATTACTTAGCCAGTTTCACGTCATTTATTCGGTTTCGTATTCTTAGTAAATAATAGTAAATTAAAAATTACATTGTTTTATTTTTAAAATGAAGTAACTGAACGTAAAAGTTTATTTTAACAAACACATTTACCTCTATGGTCATCAAAAAGAAAAATTTGTGGACTGTTCCATTCGTGAATTTTTCTATAAAATGTGGGTAGAAAGTATAGAAATAAAAAGAAAGAAAAGCTGAGGGAGAAAAGACAAAATATAGGATCAAAGAATATAATTGTGCCAAAAATAAACGAACTATTTTTACAGCGTGTTCTAGAAGCTTGGAAATTCAAAAATGTCTTAAACAATGCATTTGTAGGACTATGTGTTGCAAAAGTTCAAAGTAGCTACCTTTAAGATGCTGATTTGTTGCAGTAAAGCCTCAATTTCTCTATACTGAAGTGCCAAGAAATTCAAATGAAGGTTCGCTTGCATTTCTAAGGATCATTGCCTTCTGCAAAAGTTGAATGATCATTGTTCACCCACAAACGCAGATGAAATCGTGGGCTTTCTTTGCGTTGTGGCCACTTTTGAACTGATAGAGCAACAGCACGCAAATTTTTTTCGAAATTGTCATATTATAGATTCATCGGCAATGTTTCCAATGAAATATGTGATGAACGCCCTTTGACTACTCTACTTATATTTGCACATCGAATGTTGTAGAACATTTTTCCAGTCGTTTCTAGAAAAAAAAATTTAAATGTGTGACGATCACAGGATATAGGTTTCCCTTAAGAGCATAATTAGCAGAAACTACATTTTTCAATACACTAACATGTATCACGCAATGAGATACTGTACCTGTACATGAGGTATCCACAGAACTGTTTGACATTCAGTTCCAGAATTGTCTTTTCTGCGTTTTGTGCATTTCTCACCTTTCTCTTTTCATATTTGCAAATCACTAATAACCAATCAGCGATAGAGACAGATTAGTTCATTGGTTGAACATGTCATAAGCAATAGGAACGATTTCGCTAAAATTTTTCAAACTGACACCAATCAGAACCGAAGTTTGTTGTGCTCTTTTTCAAAATTTCTTTTCGCAATTGAACATATCTTTTTAGCTTTCTTAGTAAACGACCTTTTTTTTTTATTACTTTTGAAATAACATTGAGGTGATTTGTTTGATCCAGCGTCAGCAATTCTGAATAGTGTCATATAGTAGAAACAAGTAACATTACTCTAAATTCTGTTTTTCGAACATCACATCATATAACTTTAGTTTGAAAAATCCATTTAGATAATGAAATTTTGATAACCAGTGTATGTTCTAATCTAGAACATACACTGGTTATCAAAATTGAAAAATCCATTAAAGGTTATAAGGAATAAGCTAATTTTTCCCCCACGATTTTAAGTTTTATATATTTTAAACAATAACTAATTCTAAAATTAGTTTAATAAAATTTTATTAAACTACGATTTTTCTGATAATGTAGTGACGAAAACTTCTTGTTACACTTAAAATTTTGTACATAAAGCCATATTTTATATAGAATAGAATAATTTCAACATGTAATTTACAGAAATTTACGTCATCTAACTTGATGCCATAATATTCGCGGATGAAATCAAACGAAAATCCAGACAGAAGGTTTAAATGTGAGAAAAATGGCCACTACATATTCTTTATATCTTATGAACATATGGTTACAATTTATAAGTCTTACAAGATAGGCAAATCATTTGAGAGACTGAATAAGAAGCTCGCCGAATAAAACGCCATGCTAGGAAAGAAATGGTCGAAGATCATGCTGTAAAATTCGACTCATTAAAGACATTTTGAATATTCATGTATCGAGTTGATCAATTCGGCTACAAAATTATAAAAAAAGATCGATTTCCACTCACCATAAGGCAAAACGATTGCAAATTTACTAAATACCTTAGTATCATTTGGAATAAGCCAACAATTTCCAGAATATTATTGTTAGTGATGAAAAACGGTTTTTGTCTTATAGACCAGATAATATGAAGTCATACTTCGAACAGAGTGAGAAATGTTGTCCTTGTAGTGAGACCTTGTAGGAAAAGGCATGGCAGCGATTTCCGCCATAATTCTGTGCACTATCAACAGTGAAGGAAAATTAATTAAAGACTAATTTTTTTACCATTTAGTAACAATAAGTGGATATGGCAACGAGACAACGCTGCTGTTCGTATACACAAGACCTATTACGCATCATTTTAAAGAGAAAAAATGTTAATGTCATCTAAAATTTATGCCAACAATCAGTATGGCAAGCTTGATGACCTAAAGAAATCTATTAAATAATTATCAACACATCCAAAACGATTACTTTATTTTCTATTTTTAAAAAGGTGAGACTACAGATTAATTAATGTATAAAATTTGTAAATAATTCCATTTTTTGATATATTCAATAATACTGTAAGTCGTAACGAAAACTTTTGGCCATTTAATTACTAAGTTTTCTAATAAAGTATTTTTGAAAATATATAGGAAAAAATTCAACTTAAAATCTTTTTGGCTACCAGTGTATGGCTTAAACTGTTTTAATTATTCACGGAAATATTTTCCTTCGTGCGTGAAGACTATTGAGCATCAGCTCCGTTCTTAGGCTGTAGCAATTGTTATTTGAAATCTGTTACGTTTAAAAATTGTTTCCGTGATTGGCAAATTTGCCGAAAAAATTGGACTTTTAATCCCCAATTTTCTGTAGAATTTGAGAGTTAAAATTACCTAAAATTTTACCAGGTGATTTTTAGAGAGTTATAGAATAACGCTAGAAAATAAAAATTACTATATTTCAAGCAGAAAATAATTTAAATTTTCTTTTTCGTTTATTTTATCATGAATATTAGTTTTGTTTCTTCTTTCCTAAACTTTCTCTTTCAGAAATATAAAAACTGAATTTCTCTTAATGAAGTATTCAGTTTTGAATTATTGACTTCAAATTCAATTTTTACTTTGTAGTCCAACATTTATAAAGAAATCGCAAGAAAAATTTCAGAAAAATTAAAATAATGAATTTTATGATAAAGGTATGAAATTATTTTTATAAATATCAAAACGAATTATAAAATGTTTTATTATTAATTATTTTAAAAATAATACAATTTATGCAATGACAATATTATTTTGAAGAATTATGTTTAATGTACAATGATGGTCATGGTAATTTACAAAATTTAAAATTCATTTAATGAATTCTTGTTAGTACAAAATAAAAAGAAAACTAGTTTTAGTAGTTAAAGGGTACAACAAAACATGCTCACGTCGTCTAACGAAATTTTTTTCCCTTTCAGTGACGAAATTCCGTTTTTAATAAGATCGTCAATTTCTTCATCTTTAAAGCCAGACTGCCTCAACTCGTTGCGAATGGCGTCCATCATAAAAGGCTTCTGTTGAGCTTCTTCCAACAGACGGTTAAGTGGTTTTTTCCACTTTTGCCACATCGGTTTTGCCTGTTGAAATGGTGTGACTGGAGCTCCTATTTTTAATAAATATGTTATAATAATTTTATTTAACAGATAAAATAATAAATTAACATTATACAGAATCATATTTTCGAAGTCCAGTAAATATTTATAATAAAATATCACCAAGTTTTTGTAATACTTCACTTTTTATAACTTAATATTACAGAAAGCATTCTTTGTTTGGATATCAAATAAATTGCATATAACATACACAAAAATAATAGTTTATTTTGGTGGAAAATACTTACCTTCAGATAATCCAATTCCGCTGATCAGAAATATTATAGCAATTTTCGCATAAAAACTACTGACCATTTTGATCCCTGCACTGTGAAGTGAAATCCAAAACAGACAGTTCTATTTGTCTACCTGTGAGATAAATATTTATTTTAACATTTGTTTGAATTTTATATTGAATACATAAAATAATTATTTTCTTTTTTGTTATTTTAAAAATCAGATGAAAATTTAATTAAAATTCTAAACAATTATGAAAAAACAGCTAGAAGATAAAACGTTGCAATATAAACACAATTCATTTGTTTTATAGTTATAAATTTTAATAAAGTTTAAAAATAAATCACATTTTAAAAATAATTTCTACACTGTTGTTATAAAATTTGGTTTGCTTTATTACTTCAAAAATGGTCAATTTTTTACACAAATGTCCACGTGAAATTATATATATAATGTTTTGATTCTATTTTTATGCATTAAATTGATCATTTTAGAAATTGGCAATATTTGCAATTGCGATAATACACTTTCAAATAAATAAATTATTATTTAGTAAATAAATTTACATTAGTGCTCTCTGAAAGTATAAACATTTATAACAAAATATCACATCAGATTGAAATTTTCTTATGAAGGTTCGGTTGTAAAACATGATACTCAATGCGTTTGTAGCTGTATTACAAGGCCGCATTCAGAAGGGCCACTGAATGGTATCAATCAGTTCGTCTATTCATCTAGAAATTCCGTATTTCGAAGATAAGCTTTCACACGGGCATTAGGAGTCGCCGATTCTCACAAGGGTGTGGAGTTTAATGTTTATGGACAAACACGTATCTCCTCGACAAAATAAGTCGGCCATTATGCAGTACAAGTAATTGTAATTTCTTTCTAAATCCAGGCAAATTTTATCGAAATTGAACAATCTATCAAATCTATGACCAGTTATTATTGCGTAATACAATACTATTCATACGTTACTGGATGCAACCACCATCGTCCTAGTGAAGAGTTTCTTCTTCAGATGTACAGTACAATAAGTGATATAGGGAAGAGTTGTTTATTATTATTATATTTTACCGTATTTCAGAAAATATAAGAAACTCGAAAACCTACTTTAAGAAAATTTTATTCGTTTTAAAAATATTTAAATTGAAAATAAAAAATTGTAAACATTCTTTATATTTTTACGTTTGTTTTATTATATGCTAATGTTTTTCTGTTAAATAGGTGAGCTAAAATGATGTATTTGTTGTTTATTTTATTGTCACGGGGAGGTAGAAATCTTTTCTCACACTTTTCTTAATGTAACTAAAATAAATAGGCTACATGGTACAACGCTGCAGTAGAAAAGTGACAAACTGTTTCAAATAGATCAAGTAGGGCCACTTAGAGCTGAATTCACCATGTTTTTAAATCGAGTTTCGTAATCCGAAATTTCAAGCTTACGACTCTAGATTAAGAGTACGACGATGATACTCTCATCCTGTAATGATGTAATCGGTTATTTTATCGTAAATGACTACATTGTTGCTTATTTTCAAGTTGCAAAAGCTTAAAAACTGTAATCATAAGATTATGTTCACGTTATTTTATGAAGAATTCAAATAGCGCGTATCTGAATTGTGATTTTATAGTTAACGCGTGATGAATACCGATTTTAACTGAACTTGCGATTTTCACTGTAAGACAAAAGTTTAAGATCAAATATGATTTTCTCAATAAATTTTTTAGTCAAAATTTTCCTAAACAGAACATGAAAATGTGTGTATATTTTAATAGTTTCACCACTTACTTTTTTAAAATACATTAATAAATTTAAATTTTCTAATGTAGTACTGTCCATTTAACCGTCAATAAATACGGGACCAAGAAGCAATTTCCACAACAGAATATCCAAATGTGTCGCGTACGCATGGAGCACGCTCTACCTAATCTCATACATTTTGACAGTTATACGCACCATTACGAGAAAAACAGTGCCTCGTCAGTCCTTAAATATGCCGAAGGAGTCTTATTGATAGTTCGTTATCCTGTAAATTTAACATGTTTCACCAACAAAAAGCTGCGTGCTTGCTGGTTGCAAATAGCATCGGAATGGGTGCCTGTCGTGGTGACGTAATATGAGGTGTATTTGTATCTGCTGCAGTCTATAACCCAATTTAATCAATACTGGAAAAAATCTCGTCCCTGGATAGATGTTTAAGCAGGACTTCCTGTATAGGATTTTGGGTATCGTTCGGGGTCTTGGAATATATCTCTAGTGAATAAACATGCTTCTCAATCTGTGGTCCGCGAAACACGGGTGCTACGTGAAGCCACTTCAAGTGTTCCGCGAAAAAATCAAATATACAATTAAAAATTTTTGTATTGAAAATAATTTTTGGGAATGTAATCAGCAAATGGCAATGAGGTCATATCATTGGAATCAAGACCGAGTGCGCTCTTGATTCCAAAAAGGTTTGCCGCACCTGCTTTAAAGCTGATCTATTGTAAGTGTTCCGCGGAAAAAATGTCAAAATTTAGTGTTCCCCGACTTCAAAAAGATTGAGAACCACTGGCTACTGTATAGATTCATATGTATATATTTTATGCACTACAATACTTGTAAACATATATGTAGATACTGTACAGAATATAGTATACTGTATATAAAAATATAAAATTATTTACATAAGGCTATATGTTTTGATTAAATTTTGAGTATGTTTACAATTATTTTATATTAATTATTCTAAAAAACTAATAGGTTAATTATTTATTAACTTTCATAAAATAAAAATTTGTAATTTAATTTTATGTAATATATATTTTTAATTAAGATCAAGATTCAATTAATTGAAAATTTTGTCATCTATTTTTAATTATTTTATTATAAATACATTTATAGTTTTGTTTTAATTTAGCTGCTTCTCACATTGCTATGTGAAATTGAATGGCTTCTTTATATATATAATTTTTACTTTTAGTAGAAGTATTCAAAATTAATTATTTTAATCATTGAACACTTATATTATTCAGTAATCATTTACATCAATTAATATGAATTACTGTATCTTCTATATAAAATCTTTTTCATCATTAAAAAAAAAACAATGAAACGGCGGCACCGAAAATCTAATCTACACGAAATTTTTGAACAAGTGAATGAAGCCATATAGTATCTTTTAAATTAATTAGAACTAAATATACCGAGTATAAAATATTAACTACAGAATTTTAGGAAAAATGTCACAAATTTGGCGTTAAAAATTATACTCTAAAAGAAGTTATAATTATATCTATATGCTGATATATAATTGTTTATATAGCATGATTATACAGCTGGATGATTCAAAAATAGCACGATAAGTCAAAGTAGGTCTGTGATGTTTTACCATGTGATTGCCATTTATATTGGTTATGTTTGAGGAATGCTGGCATAGATGGAGTTTTAGCAAATTAAGACCAATTAATTACCCTACATTAGAATTTGGGGATACATTAGTGTCTACGTATTAGCCGAATGTAACAATTTTTCGCCTAATTTTATGCAGATAAAATTAATAGAATCTTTTAAAATAATAAATACGACAAAATTAAATGAAATTTGTATGTACCGTATAAAAACATTCTTTTTATACAGTACATGTACTGTATAAAAAGTACAATACATTCCATTCAACAAAACTCGACTAGACGGATAAGTTACATCACAAATAATAAAAGGTTAAAGTATAAATGTAAATAAATCTGTAAATATCATCCAAAGCAATATTTTGATTCCTTTAGTTTACTTTTGTAAGTGTTTTTATTATCCGCTTGAAAATAAAGCGTATTATTTTAAATTTTTCATCATGTAGTAAGATTTAATAATTACCATCACTGGAATTATAAACTTATTTTATTTCAAAATCGCTGAAATACGAACCGTAATTCCTCTAAACGACAATCTGACGTATTTATCTCCTTAGCCCATCCGATTATTATTTAATGAACATTACAGATATTATTGTTTACGCAATATTATGTAAAATGCACAGTATTGTGATTAACCAAACTGACCAAATTAAAATTAATTATTATAAATGAAGAAAATTATTGATATTCGTTTAAAAATTTATTTTGAAGTTATGTAGAAATATCTATAAATTATATTTTAAAATATTTAAAATGAAAACCACAAACAAATATTAAATAGATTTAGCATTTGCAACACGAATGGTTATGTTGCTATCTTCAGTTTTTTTCTTTAATTGATAGGTTGACATACATGCAAGATTATGATTGTACGAAATGAGACGAAATTCAAATTATCTATGGAAACATCTGGAGGATGGGAACCATGTTCGAATTACTGCTCTATTGCTTACGGTTGATGATGATCCACTATCGTGTCGCTGCCATAAAGAAAAATTATCCTTACGTCTTCTTCGAGTGGATTTCGTATGCTGTTTTATAAAAATCAGATTTAACATTTTGAAGCCTTAACGAAACGTTTACATTATTTTACTTTTTTTCCTGTGACTGATTAAAAATTAAAAAAATATTAATGATTCTTATGGAGTTGATCCGGAAAGAAATATCTTTAAGTTTGATTTCTAACAGCAAATTTATTGCTTTATCAACATCTTCATTTCCAACATGACGACAATAATCTCAAATTCCTATATTGTTTGTGATTTTGAAGGGAAAAGTAATTTAATACTACAAAAGCTGTTCCATATCTGAAATCTCTTTGTTCAACCAAATTTTCATCGTTTGACAAATTTCATTTTATTGTCAAGCGTACAGAATTAGATTTTAAAAATATCCGCATTTCTATTTTTTTCAAAAAGACGTCGAAATAGTTGAGGTGCAAATATCTGCTCACTGCTTCTATAGAAAATAACTTTTCTGAAAATTTTGCAAGGTACGAAAATATTTTAATATTAATCGTATCTTTAATTTAATTATATTTTCTTCAATCGCTTTTTTAAAATTGCCGAAACATTTTAAAAATCAGCAAAGAGTTAAGTAGAGTAGAAGTTCGTTAATCCATGTTAGATGGATTATCAAACATTCTTTGTATTTTCGTAAATTTCAATAAGTTATATGTGATCCGAACACGTTGATGTAGATTTTGTACCAGTGCATGCTGTCGTATGCTTCCGATT